CGAAAGAAAGAAAGTTGAAATAAGTAAATAAACATATTACTATTTTTTGTGTGTGAGGGGGATCGTCCTGCTTTCTTTTCATATAAGAGGCTTCAAGGGAAGCAAGGGAAGCAAGGGAGGGGGGTGGCTGGGCTTGGCTGGGCGATTCCCCCCTCCCTCCACCCCCACCCCACCCCAGAAGAAAGAAGGGGGTCTGAGAAGGTGAATTGGGGGAGCAAGGCCGTTGTGCGCTCACGCACACACACACACACACATACACCCACTCCAGTATAGAACACCAGTGGGACTGGGAAGGAGACCCCGCCTTCTCCCCCCCTGCCCAAATCCCAAGACCTGGCCTAGTGATGGCGGGGGGGGAGGGAGAAATGCCCCAAGCACGCACTGTGGGATCGAGAGGAACCCTTGGATGCACATGTGTGTGTGTACATGCGTGTGTATAATATACACACGCAAGGGATATATTTATACCTTGTGCTTCTCTCTGTGCGTTCTTCAAGACGTAGCACACGTGTAGTGGCACACTTGTAAGAGTGACACACAAAATAAGACACAGAAGTAGTTGAGTGGCACACACAGACACACACACACACAGAGTTGTATATGTACATGCCCATATACAGGCCGGCCGGCCGTTCTCTTCCTCTGCCTGTCGTCACCGCTGAGCTAGACGGGAATCAGTCGGTGACAGGGACCGACCCTTTGCGGGGAGGGGGCCTTTCCTGGATGGTGGGGGGAGTCTTCTTCGAAGTGCACTGGAGCATTTGCTTTGGATTGGGGTCACACTCCCCAAACCCCACCTGCTGTCCAAAAGTGGCACCATGAGCCGCGTCTGTGTGCTTGCCACTGGATGGATGGTTGAGGTGGGACCTCCTGAGTCAAAACCCTCATTTGGGCCTCTACCTTCTTGAAGCTTCTGGCACAAGGGGGTGGGTGGGTTCCTTTTGCTTCCGGAAAATCCATCGGCTCCATCACTCGGGGCCGGTCATGGCCGTAAACTCAGGTTCCTCTCGGGCCCTCCCACGCCTAGAGCGCCCCTCCTGATTGTCCGCCCTGTCTCTTCTGGTCTTGCTTTTCTTGGGGGGGGGGTAAAAGATGACATGTGTATAACATTTTATAACAGACCCAACCACTTTTTCTACCCTTGTTCCCAAAGTATGTTTAACCATCTGAAAAACACAACACAATGGAAAAGCTTAAGATTCTCCCCGAGATACTAGATTTCTATTTTCAGGGATGCTTTTTTTTTTTAAAAAAAAATCTTCTGCCTCCAGTATCTCGACTTTATACTGTCTAGAAACACTTTACCATTTTGTTTTACCAAAAGTGCAGAGTCTTGAGGCTCAGAACAACTTGCCACCTGTAGAGCTAATGCCTGGACCAGGTTTTCTTTCTTTCTTTCTTTTTTTTAAAAAGTCACCGCATTGTAAGTCTTCCTAGTTTTCATTTTATCTGACTGAAATTAGACATTTCTGCCTCTCCCCATGAAACCTGACTCCTGAACCCCTTCTAGGCACGCTTGCTTTGTGTTTCCATTCAAGTTAGCAGATGGTGGCGGCTTAATTCTGTTAAACACACTCGATGTAATCACTTGCCGGACTCTGGAGCAGGCAGCTGCCCATGGGTTTTAATCTGGAACGTGAAACTCTTGAGGCGGCGGAGGGGGAGTATCTGTGTGTGTGTGTGTGTGTGTGTGTGTGTGTGTGTGTTTGTTCTTCAGGAGGAAAAAGGCAACTTCCAGCCTGACCTCTTTGGGCCATGGACGGAGGTTGGTCCCTTTGGAAGGCCATGCCTGGTTTGGTCAAGTGGGCCAGGGTGGGCTTGTTCTGGAAACTGCCCTCTTGCTTCTCCTCAGTCTTTGTGTCTGTCGGGGATGCGCCTGATGATTTATGCCTCTCGGTACCCCCCCCAATAACCCACATTCTCCATTTTGACCGTGGTGCAAAAGCGAAGGAGCTGGTGTCTGTTGAGGATCCACTTTGGTTAAAGTTGTGGACAGGAGGGCGAAGCTGAATGGCATCCCGGCCACGGAGTGAGGGCTCCTTTAGAAGCTCAGCCTGGTCCAACCATTGTTAATTTTGAGATGGCCATTGAAAATCTACCTGTTTCCCCAAAGCAGCCCAGAGGCTTGTGGAACCTGGAGCCCCCACAATTACATGGCGTCAGATCAAGCGGGAAAGAGTCCACAGGGAGCTTGTGCTGTGGTCTGTGGGCTGGCCTTTGTGGTGCCCCACAAGAGGCGAGGGGGGGACCTCCCAGAGCGTATTGCCACTTTCTTGGGCTTCCAGTCACATGGGGGGGGGAGACTACCAGCCGCCTTTGTCACAGGTTCAGTACCTGCCTCCCGCCCTTTCTCCCCCCCCCCCATAGCAGACCTGCTGGGCTGATGCCTGACGGGGTCTGTTTTAGGCCGGGGAGGTGGTGGTGGTGGAGGGCAGGGTTCCTGCGGCATTGCTGGGATGGTGGTTCCGGCCTGCATCGCAGCCGTGCGTCCATCAAGTGAAATTCCCATCCTTCCCTTGGCATGTTGGATCTTGTTTTCCCAAGTGGAGGAAAGCAGTCTGGCTCCTCTTTCTCTGTCTTGCTCTCCTGAGGGCTTCTGCCAGTTATAAGACTTAACCCCTGTCCCTGCACGGGGCTTTTCCTCCCCCCTCTCCACCCCCCCAAGTTTTCGGTGGAGTAACGGGGAAAAGGAAGCAGCAGGTCTCTGCTCCCCCCCCGTCCCCCCCCAGGGACCTTCCAGTCCAGCTCCTGACCATGTAAGGGAGAAGGTGGCATTTTTAGCTGGCTGGCGGGACGTGCACAAAGGGCCAAATTTGGGTGGCTGATCTTTCTCTCCTTCCGCCCCCTCCGCCTGCTGTGTCAGCTGTGGGGCTTTGGAACAGGTGCCCTTAAGAGGGGAACGCACACACACATGCCCTCACAATCGGCC